CTTTCTTCGACCAATACTGCATCGCTTAATGATCAGTTTGCTGGCGATCCTGACGTTCGTTTTGTTTCCTAAAAAGGACACCAGCTCAGTGATTCTACCTACAGAGCCACTTTGCAAAGCTTAGGCTGAAATGTTCATGCTGTGTGCTGAAAAAAGACGACTTCCTTGTGGACGCTACCGATTCTACGTTCTGGAAAGGTAGCACACCGACTAGGAAATGAAAAATTTTCTGATAAACCACATTTATAGAAGCGTAGTATATTGCCAATGCCAGTACTGGTGTTTATCATCGAAACGAATGAACAAATCGTAGTGAATTGGCTGTCCCATTGGCACAATCGCAGTTTCAACCTTCTGAACGAAACTGCGCCATGAGCCTTAGTCAAGGGATAAGGACAGTTCCTGGGGACAGAAATCATCCCATCGTTTCAAATCCCCTTTCCCCTCCAACCTCGCCAACCGTGCCCCGCCTCCTCCACCCCTTCAAAAAACGTTCCGAATGAGGAAACCTGCAGGTTCTCAATTCTCCGACAAAACAGAGAACATGCAAAAGAAAAATTTAAAAAAAAAAAAAGGACCGTTCTAGATTATAATTGTTCTACTTTCAAATTGTGCCATTTGCAACTGTTTTGCTTGATTGCTGTTGTTGATTTCAGAAGAACTGGATGATTTGTTTATCAGTGAAGGCTTCCAGAAAGAAACAAGCGAATATCTTCTACGTCGCACCACCAATCATCAGAAAGGAATTTCTGTGGATCGAGTCTTCGTTCAGGCAGTGTTCAAGAAGCCCCGGCAATAACAGAATCTTTTGGCAGTGACTCCTATTGAAGTCTTCAAAAGTTTCCGCGGTACGCAGAAGTTTCCGGCTCTTCACGCTATCCATTCTGCTAGCAGATGGTGCAATTTCAAATCTGGTCTTGTCTGCCGTTGCACTGGAAGATGCGTCAGTACCATCCGAGATTATGCGTTTCTGGATATCGACAACAAAACCGTGTTCGGTGTCCAGCTACTGTCGATTTTACTGGGCACACTGAGGAGAAATGAACTGAAGCCGCCCCAAGATAATGTTATTATCGAAATGTTCTCAGAGAGATTGAACTGAAAATTTTCTTATTGAAACCTATAAACGTTTGAATGGTAATTATGTCCACGGATTTTCAGGAGTCCGAACAAATTTTGACATGAAAAAACACATGCATTATCCATAATA